AAAAATATGAAATATAGTGAGAGAAAATATCAGTGATTACCTAGGGGGAACAGAGAAAAGCAAATGATTATGGTGGGAACTTCTGAAGGCTGTCCATATTCATCACTTTGATTATGATTATTTTTCGGTCATTCATGTAAAGATGTCAAAGCTGAACACATTAAGCAAATGCTATTTTTGTATATAGGTTATGCCTCAGTAAAGTTGTTTTTAAAACATCATATTTTTAAATATTTTGATTGTTCACAGCCTGATGCAATTTTTTTTTATTTGTTTGTTTTTTTTTTTGTTTGGTACAGGGGCTCATTATACAGCTTGGACTCTGATGATCCTCCTGTCTCAGCCTCCCCAGCACTGGGATTAGAAGCTTGAGCCACCATGACCAGTTTCAGTGGCCAGCATGGCAAGCCCAGAGTCCTAGGGGCTGGCACTACATGCAGTACTGGGGATGGAACCTGGGTCCTTGCATTTGCCAGGCAGGCGCTTAGACTACCAACCTATCTCTCCACCCCCCGATGCAATTCTTAAATCTGGTAGAAATTTTCACCTGAATCTGTTTCTACTATTTATTTTGAATCTTTTCTAAAATCTGATTTTAAAAAATAAAATCTATATTTATCTTCCTATGTTGTAATTATTCAGATGATTTTATTTTTCCCTCTAATAACTTTGTTTTTGGTTTTTTTGGTTTTTTGGGTTTTTTTTTTTTTTGGTTTTTTTTTTGTTTTGTTTTGTTTTGTTTTGTTTTTGTTTTTGTTTTTGGCAGAACCGGGGATTGAACTCAGACCCTTGTGCTTGCCAAGGAAGCATTTATTCCACTGAGCCATCTCCCCAGCCCCGCTTCCCTCTAATAACTTTGAATCACTATTTCCTGCCTTAATTTTTCAGTTAACCCTGCCATAATTTATATTTTCAATACTTTTTAATTTGGTTTCCAGGATTCCCCATTTCTGCTTGTTCACTAATTATCTTATTTCTATCCAGTGAGACTGAGTCATAAATTCTGCCTCCGCAACAACATGAAACTTCTCAATGTTAAAAATTCTCTAACAATTGAAAATCCCCTCTTTTCAAAAACATTCCCAAATTCCTATAGTTTATGAATTTCAAAACATTCATAAACCATGATAGAAAGCTAAAATGGAAAATAAAACAAAATTTCTAACTTGTAAAACCCACTCTAACTGGATTTCAGCATCTCAGAAAACAGTGAAAATGTTCAAAAAGGCAACTCTACATAGCTTAGAATATTGTTTCTCATCTTCAAATATGTACACAGAAACATATGTACACAATTTCTATAAAATTGACGTTAAAATGTCATATAAATTTCAATTACTGAGTGAATATTTTATGAAAATAAAATTATAGGACATCGAAGTTTCACAATATCAAGAATGCTCAATTTAGAGTTTTTACTAAGTAGAGAAATATAATGACTTTTAAAGATTTGAAGAAAAACACCTCAACATTTCAGTACATTGCAACTGAATATAAACTACTTTCCCAAAAGTTTTTAAAATGGTAGAAACCTACAAATTCTTCAGTAACAGATATCTTAGAATACTTACAGGGTTGTTAAACATTCTCTTTAAAAATGTCAAAAGTTTATACTAAAAGTCAATATTTTTCTTTAAATTTATTTTGATTATAAGTTCAGACTGCCAAAAAAAAAATGAAAATCTACCAAAAAACTCATCATATCACCCCTATAGATCCTGTCCTAAAATACAAAAAAAAAAAAAATCACAATTCTAGTTGAAATTTAATTAAACAAGGAGGTATTCTCAAGACAATATAAGTATATTTTTCTTTAAAGTCCTATAGCTTTACTATACTTTCTATGACATTTTTATTTCCTTGAAATGGATATTTCTTACAAAGGAAGTAAGTTTCCTTGTCCAGACATGGAAATGCAAAATATACAAAAAGGGAAGAACACTTAGACTGAAACAGGAAAGTAATGCTTTTCTCAGAAGGAATTGAATGGAAAGAGAACAAGGACAACGAGAATGCCATGTAGGTTTAGATATATGAATAATGCTCACGGGATTTAAAGCAGATGATATCTGCAGAAAAGACAATGGCATTTCCACTAGAAGCTGCATACACTTACAAAGAGAAATCAGAGGAAGAATACATGGCTTTTGAGTAGATCACCCTTGTCAACAATGTTTACTGTACAAAGGATATTGTAAGTGATAAATCCAATCACAAAGTTTCATTTCAAAATAGTTACATAATACGCTATAGAGTTAAAAGACAATAACACAAGTGAGTTTAGACTTCTGTGATTTTATTGTTCATTTTCCAACTTTCATGCTCACTCTTGAGATTCCCTTTCATTTACTGTATTCTCATATTTTTTCAGATTTCTATACTTTTTTAGACTTCTATAACCTCTCAGCCTCTGATTACTAGTTAGGACCTAACTTCAGCTCAGGAGTTTTTTTTTTTAAATCTCACTTGAATGACACCTTATATTTCAATAGTACAAACCTACTTGTTCTTAGCATTAGATACATCTTCAGGAACAAGAAACATTTATTCAAATTTTGTAACACCTTTAAAAACAACGGACCCCAATATTTGCCCTGAGGCACCTGCTACCAAGGAGATTGACAGTCAGTACAGACATTCTCTACTACAGCTTCACATGCAGGGCCTTGTTCAGATCATGGAGGTAAAATTGCAGCTGAGTCTCTTGCAAGGGGAAGTCTACAGTAGGAACTATATCAGTTGATGAGCATGTTTATCAGCAAGGTCTCTACTTCAGAGACCCTCTCAGCTGACAGAGCCCAAACTTCTGCAGAGGCCACTTTTGCAGGCTCCCCCTAAACTGGCAGCTGCTGAACCTCAGAAGGGTCTCTTCTGTCAGAGCCTCCACACAACAGTGGAGACTGAACTTCAGGAAGGGCCTCTTCTTCACAGTCCCTCAACTGGTGGAGGCTGAACTTCAGATTCGACCTCTTCTGTAGAGGTCTCTTCAAGTGAAGAAGAGTAAACTTCTGCAGAGACCTCAACTATTGGAGATGAAGTGGCATGAGAGGCCTTTTCTGGGGACTTTTCAGATGATAGAAACTTGACTTTAGCAGGTGCCTCTTCTGTAGGAAATTTTTCAGCTTGCAAAGACTGGACTTTGGCAGGGACCTCTTTGGAAGGAGCCTCTTCAGCTGATGGAGGCTGAACTTGACCAGGGGCTTCTTCAGCTGGTGAAGACAGGACTCTAGCCGGGGCCTCCTAGGCTGGTGAAGACTGGACTTCAGTACGGGCCTCCTCAGCTGGTGGAGGCAGGACTTCAGCAGGGGCCTCCTCAGCTGGTGGAGGCTGAACTCCAGCAGGGGCCTCTT